ATCTACTACAGTCACGTTTGTCGTGAAGGAAATCAAGTAGAAGACTCGCTAGCAAAGAAAGCAAGCTCGGGAGAGCTCGATGTGCGCATAATCCACGAACCACCACAATCGGTGATCAAGATGCTTCAGGATGATTGTGAAGGATACCCTCAGTAGTTAAATGTTTAGATTCTTTTCCATACCAAAAAAATCAATTAAAAATTGAAGGGCTTAATTTAATTTTTAGATAGTTAAAAGATATATTGAATTTGTGAGGAAAGATTAAAATTTGAGAAATTATTGAAGATTTAAAATATTAAAATATTAAAATATTTTAGAAAATTAAATATAAAATTATAAAAAATATTAATTATTTTAAAAATAAATGAAAATATGAAAATATGAAATTATACAATGATAAATTATAAAAAATTTAAAATAATCATATAATAATTTTTTAATTAATATGACGTAAATACATGCTAATATCTTTTCAAAGATAACTTTCAACCTTGACATTGAGCACTCATACACATAGCATTCATTGTGCTCAATCGTACAAGGAGTAATAACAACTCATTTATCATTGAAGTCGTTTGGTTTGGACTATTTATACAATTTTAAAAGAATTGAACACTTTGATCAAAAATGTTTGAAGTCTCTCATCAACTTAAGTATATTGTTATTCCTTAAATATGTTTTTCCTAAAATCAACCATGTATTAGAGCAACAATGACTTTTGATGATCCTTGTCATATTTTAAAATGATCAGATAAAATTTGAATCAAAGTCATATTCTTGAGTACTATTTTAAATATAAAATTTTGATTTCTCAAACGTAATCTATACTATAAGATGAGATACTATTATCATAAATGGTTAAAAAAGATAATCATGGCGAGAATCTCCAAAAAAAAAAAGAGAATTTTTCTGTAAATAATGTTTTCCATTTATACAAAGATTCACTGCATCACCTATTCACTGTGGGGTGTAAATAATGAACTTATGCAGAGTAATCCTAACGCATTTGACTTCATATTTGATCAGATGAGACACATTTATCAAAAGTGGCTAGACAATATGACCATGCAGAGAATCTCCGCAATATGAGAAAGAGTTTTATGTGAAAAGCACCTTCCATTAATACAGAGAATTCCTACATCACTTATTCTTCATGGGATGTAAATAATGGACCTCTACAGAATATTCTCTTTGTTTGATAAGATGAAACACAACTGTCGAAAATGACTAAACAAGATCATACAAAAAAAGTTTACAACAGACCAATATGTTTTTTATGAAAAGTGCATTTCATTTATGCAAAGAATCTCAACATCACATATTCACTATGAGGTGCAAGAAATGGCATTCTACGTGTATAGTATTATTCATTCATTTGATTTCATGTTTGATAGGATGAGACGCAATTATCGAAAATAATTAGACAGGATGAGCATGCAAATAATTTTTACTAAAGAAAGGAATAATTTCTTGTAAAAAACGTCTTCTATTTATACAAAAAATCTTTGCATCACCTATTCACTATGAATAATGGATCTCCACAACCAAGTATTTGTTTTCAAGTTTGAAGTATGATCTATATATTCATGTTTAGTTGTCGTTTTTATTGTCTCATTTGTTATCCATCTTTTTTGTTCTGCTATAGAGAACCTTTATTGCGATCCTCACTCACTCAGGAACACTAAATCATTCACATTTTTAATGGCACCTAAAATATTCTTATTCTATATCTCAAATGATATATTGTTTAATATTTTACGATGTTCTATTAGGGTTGTATTGAGAAGTTCCTACCCATCTGTTTAATTTGTTGGGACTTTTGCTTGACTTTTTAAGATGTATATTTGCAAATGCTCAATTGTATAGGTGTTCTTTGAAACCTATAGATAATTATGAATACTTTCTATTAGGAAAAGCTTTCTTAAAAATATCCCCAAACATTATATAGAAAAGGTATATTATATTGATTTTACATGTACTACCTCAATATTATTATTGGATGTAATATTTTGAAGAAAACCTCTACGATGGATCTAATTAAAGCAAATTTGCATCGAGGAGAGGTTGCGATGAAGATATGAACTGTTACATGATCTTGGTCCAATACATCTGTTAGGTATGGCTCATAAATATACGGTACAGGGTTATATTTGTAAATATATACCAGAGTTTATTTATTATAAATAGAGATGTAACCTGAACCTATGAGACATTGAATAAAACTTCTAGCGCCACCTAGGCACCGATGACGTAAACACATTGCCGAACCTCGTTAAAATTATTGTGGTCTTTCGTTTTTCTTTACCCGATTCTTCAACAACATCTAATAAAGAAGCAAAGAGAGTTTCTTTATTATAAAACAATTACTATGTATACTATTGTCAACATTTTGGCAATTTCATACATCATAAGATTCCACAAATATTTTGCTCATATGGTGAAATTTATAAAAGTTTTTTTTTATATTTTTGAAAACATGAAAGTAATATTGTAATGGATTTTGTTATTAGTCAGATTAATTAAATGTAAGATTATTTATTTTAAGATTTCAAGTAATAAATTGGTCTACATAATCATTTTTATCTTATGTTTGAAATTATTGCAAATTTATAAAAATATTATGTATTTTAGCGGCATTTCTCTCTTTTAACACTTAAAATTAAAAACGCTAAACCTTAAATCTATATATTCTTCTATATTTTTGTAATCTATAATATTAATTTATATATTCTTATATTTTTATAATAATTAAAAGATATTTTTAAATCCTTAAACCCTAATATATTAATAAACCCTAAACATCCAAAATAGAACTGATAAAATAATTAAGGAACTTATTCTGATTAAAAAGTAATTTAAGAACTTGATTCAATGATGGAAAAACTTTAAAGAAGTTTTTAATATTCAACCTTAAATTTAATAGTTAAAAATAAGAACACTAAAGTGAAGTTGAAGTGGTTTTAGGGTTTGAAAATGGCGATGGAGCCTGAGCAACCCACCTGGGAGCACTTTCTGGAGGAGTTTCATCAAAAGTATATAGGCGAGACTCATACGAATGATTTAAGGGATCAGTTTCTGCACCTAGCTCAAGGAGACCAATCCGTGTTTGAGTACAAGAGAGAGTTCCTTCGTTTAAGCCAGTATGCACCAAAGTTGGTGGCGTCTAAGTACCACAGCTGTAAGAGGTTCAGGGAGGTTCTCCAATTGAGAGCTAGAGTATCTAATATCACTTTCGGGCAGTGTAGGAGAGTAGTTGAGTTTCTGAGTCCTGCCCAACCCTCGAATAAGAGGACCAAGGACTCCTAGGGATCTTGGAGGGCTCCTTGAAGTCATCCTAGTAAGTCAGGACAAAGAGCAGGCAGAGAAGGTAGATCTGAGCTTAAGAGGCCTTTGGCATCATCGTTTGTGGTGATCATTGGTGGTTAGTCGAGAGCACCTTCTCAGCCCAATTGTTCAGTCTGTAACAAGAGGCATTTAGGGATTTATAAGTGAAGATCTTGAGGATGTTTCAATTTTTGTTCTCCATACCACTTTAATAAGAGATTTCCTTGAGGCACGTAGCACAACTCTAGCATCGACCTAGAGGTTGGCACAATCATTTTAAAAGGGTAGAGGACCTCAAAGAGGAGGGAGTATTATATCTGGCAGTTTAGTAGGGGTACAAGTCGATCTGTGGTTGATGCCAAGCCTAGTGTGGCCATACACCAATATGCACTTAGGGTCTATATGGAGTGTAATGCGACTGATGTGATATCAGGTACATTTATTGTATTTTTCATTCCAATCACCGCTTTAGTAGACACAAAGTCCACATACTTCTATATATATTATGATCTAGTACGATATAGAAATATCCTTGCAAAGGATCTTGAGATAGGGGTCCGAGTATCCATCCCATTAGGATTAGACGTCCTAGTGGACAAGGTTTATCGTAGATGTCCCATTGAGATTCAAGGTGAGACCTTTTCGGTCAATCTAATGGAGCTACACTTCAGAGAGTTCGACATGAAATTAGGCATGGATTGACTTTCAGAGAACGATGCAAGTTTGAGATGCAAGGCTAGACAACTCAAACTTAAGAAGAGTGATGTGACCAGGGTAGTGATGGTTAGCAATAAGCAAAAGTATACAAGGATTATGTCGGCCATCAAGGCACAGAGGATAATGGATCAAGGTTGTAAAGTTTTCTTGGCTCATATAATCCAAACTCAAGTCACAGTTCTGAGACTCGAGGATATCTAAACTGTTTAAGACTTTCCATACATTTTTTAGAGGAGTTACCAGGGTTACCACTCTACGAGAGCTAGAGTAAGTATCGAGATAATGTTAGGATCTCTTTGATATCTATATCCCCTTATCACATGGCACCAACAGAACTAAAAGAATTAAAAGCTCAAATTCAAGAGTTATTGAAGAAAGGTTTCATCTAGCCAAGTTTTTCTCCATGGATCAATTGATGAGGTTGTGCATCAAGTATCGAGAAATCAACAAACTAACCATCAAGAACCGTTATCTCATCCCAAGGATCGACGATCTCTTCGAATAAATCAAAGGAGGGTGCGTGTTCTCCAATATAGATTTGAGATCGGGGTACTATCAGTTAAAGATTAAGGGTGCGTGTTCTCCAATATAGATTTGAGATCGGGGTACTATCAGTTAAAGATTAAGGATGCCGTCATAGCCAAGACAATATTTAAGATGAGGTATGGTCACTGTGAGTTCCTTGTAATTCCGTTTGGACTCACTAATGCCCCAGCGATATTCATGGATCTAATGAACAGAGTCTTCCACCCATACTTAGATCGTTTTGTGGTGGTCTTCATAGGCAATATTCTGATATATTCATGATCAGAGAAAGATCATGAGAGACACCTTCGTATAGTTCTATAGAATCTCTGAGAGCGTTGGTTGTTTGTCAAGTTTGGGAAGTGTGAGTTCTAGTTGTCTGAGGTTTCATTTCTAAGTCACGCAGGCCATTTTAGAGTGGGAAACCCCAAAGAACGTGATCGAAGTGCACATTTTCTTAGACTTTGCCAGGTACTATCACAATTTGTAAAGGGTTTCTCGATGATAGTTGTCTTGATGAATAAGTTACTTCAGAAAGGAATACCGTTTATTTAGGGTGAAAACACTAGAGGAGTTTTGAATTGTTGAAAATCATCCTGACGAAAGCCTCAGTCTTAACCCAACATGAGTTGGGGAAAGACTTCATCGTGTTTAGTGATACCTCACTAAATAGACTTGGTTGTGTCCTGATGCAAGAAGGAAAAGTATGAGCTTATGCATCTCGTCAACTCAAGCCTCACGAGCAAAATTAACTCACCAACGACTTATAATTGGCAGCGGTGGTTTTTACACTCAAGATTTGGAGACACTACCTTTTTAGAGAGAAATGTCACAACTTCTAGTATATTCGCGATCAGAGGAAGAGCATGAGAGACACCTCCATATAGTTCTACAGACCCTATGAGAGCGTCAGTTGTTTGCCAAGTTTGGGAAGTGTGAGTTCTAGTTGTCCGAGGTTTCATTTCTGAGTCACGCAGTGGCAACTAATGGTATCTAAGTTGACCCCAGAAGATTCAGGCCATTTTAGAGTGGCAACCCCCAAAGAACGTGATCGAAGTGCACAGTTTCTTAGACCTTACCATGTACTATCATCAGTTTGTAGAAGGTGTTGTCAGAATTGAGGGTGTTATTAGTATGTTTTAGTTTATCTAGTGAAGGTAGACTTTTTTGCAAGTTGTAAGTGAGTGAATTTAAGATGTTCTAGAGTTTTGAATGTCGTATGAGGTTCGCGTGAAACAAGTCCACCGAGGTGAGGCCTTGGGTTTCACGTTTTATGATAGGGATATACTTTTTTTTAGGGGTCGATTGTGTGTACTGACAGACAAGTAGTTGTGCAGAAATATCCTCCAAGAGGCATATTGTAGCCCACTCACAGTTCATCCAGGTAGTTATAAAGATGTATCAAGAGCTCAAACCATTATATTGGTGATCGGGCATGAAAAAAGAAGTGTTTAAGTTTGTTGCTAAGTGTTTGGTATGTCAACAAATCAAAGTATAACACTAGGACCCTTCAAGGTTACTTCAATTAATTCAGATACTGTAGTGGAAGTGGGACAGAGTGATTATAAACTTCATGATAAGATTATCAATGACTAGGTAGAGGAACGATGCATTGTGGGTTATTGTTGTAAGTTTAACCAAGACTGCTTACTTTCTACTGGTTTGGATGGATGACACTTTAGATTGGTTAGCACAATTGTATGTTCGTGAGATTGTGAGGTTACATGAGGTACAAAAATCGATCATTTTAGATAGAGATCCTTGTTTCACTTTTTGGTTTTTGGAAAGATCTTTACGAATCCCTAGGTACCAAACTCAACTTTAGCATCGAATTCCACCCTCAAAGTGACGGTTAGGCCGAGCGTGTTATTCAGATTTTAGAGGACATACTTAGATGCACCATCTTACACCATGATGGTTGTGCAGAGAACCATTAGTTGTTAATAGATTTTACCTACAACAATAGCTATCAGTCTAGTATCCAAATGGCTCTTTACGAGGCTTAATACAGCTGCAAGTTTAGAACTACACTTTATTAGACAAAGCTCAGTGAGGGAAAGATAGTGGGCTTGAATTTGATTAGAGAATCTAAAGAAAAGGTTTGGTTAATTTAGAGTCAATTTAAGAAAGCTTTCATAAGAAAAGGTCATATGCAGACTTAAAACATAAATATATTGAGTTTGTCGTGGTAGACAATGTGTTTCTCAAAGTGTCTCCATGGAATAAAGTACTCCAATTTAGACGAAAGGGAAAGTTGATCCCGCATTTCATAGGGTCGTATGAGGTACTTGAGAGGGTTAAACCCATAACTTACCCCTCAGCCTTACCCCCAGAGTTAGAAAGCATCCACAACGTGTTCCACATGTCTATGCTTAGGAGATATTGTTCAAACTATCTCAAATCTTACCCTTAAGATATATTGAGGTAAGCCAAAAATATGAACCATGAGGAAGAGCGAGTAAGGATATTGATAATGGATGTGAAGAAATTGGGTAACAAGACGATTCCCCTGGTGAAGGTCTTATGGAGGAACCATGGAGTCGAGAAAGCCACTTGGGAAACCAATGAGGATATGCTTTTCTATCTAGTTAAATTTCAAGGACAAAATTTCTTATTATGAGGGGAGAGTTATAACGCCACAGATCCCAGGTTGGTAGCTTCAGGTAACCCGATTGGGCCTCAAGTGTAAGCTAAGAGACCAATTAAAGATTTAAGGTTAGTTATGGCCTTTCACGAGTTTGGGCTTGAGCCTATTTAAACTTTAAAAGGATATATTTAGTTGGAAACAAAGTTGGAAGGACCAAAAGGATAAAGTTTCCCTAAAACTACCTAAAGGTTGGTTTTCCTTATATGGTGCATATGTCACGTGAGATATTGTCTCCTTGTCTCTTTCTTCTTCCCTTTCAAAATTTATTCTTCTTCTTCTTAAAATTATGTGAAGGTGAAAGCTTTATTTATTCTCATTTATACTCCAGAGTTTCCAAGGTAAGAAATGCGATCCCAATATCTCAAGCTTTCATTAATACCTCACATTTCATGTGTTAGTCATAGAGAGCCTTAGATCTTTGATATCATATTACTACTCTTTTTGGGTATCTAGATGAGTTGATAACTCATTTACTTTGGTCTTGATTAGTGAAAGTAGTAGGGAAAACTTGAAGGTAAAAGGGAAAGAGAAATTGACCCTTGGTTTATTTAAGATAGTTTCCAGCAACTAGGAAACTAAGTAACACATCCACAACTCTTTCAATAGTTTTCAACATCTATGAAACTAAGTTAACAGATTCATAACTCTTTCATACCATTTGTAGTTATTAGAACACATCATAAAAATACCAATACTATTCTTCAGATGGCTTAAAAACAAGAGAAATTAGGAATATGAGTATCAATACTTCTTCAAGGAGTATTGATACTAATGACTTGGTCTTGATACTCGCAGGGTAGTATTGATACCGGTTAAACATAGTGAATTCCATAATACCATTTTGGTATCGGTACTCATGGGTAGAGTATCGATACCCCAAATAATATCAATACCCTAGCTCAAGAGTATCGATATTGGTCCAACAATATCAATACTACCCATCATTTTCAGCTGATTTTAAAACTATAGTATCAATACCCAAGAGTGAGTATCGATACCATTGAACATTTTTGGGCAAAAAGCCCAAGTTAATTAAAAGAAATGTAGAGAGACTCAATAACACTATTACACCATCAAATATGATTACAAGTGAGAATCATGGTTAAAATGCAATTATAACTAGAAACAAAGTTAATTAGGATAACATAAAACTAGACTTGGTTGATGCTCGGGAAAACAACTAGGAAACCCAACTCTAGTTGATGATAATAACTTCAAAGTATGGAATTTATGGATATCCTTAGGTAGTGCACGAGGCACTTTGAGACTAACAAGGGAACGAGACTCGAACCCTCGCGATGGGTGGGTTAGTTGGGTGTTTTGTCCGATGTAGAGATTTAGAACCTTACCCTCGGTATACTAGAGGGGTATGTGTTCCGAGATGTGTAACCCTCTGACCACACCATGATGTATACTCTAGAGCAGTGTGAAGTATATGAGTATACTCACTTTCTTTATTGCACTCAATAGAATGAGCATTGATGAACACATTTAGTATGGTTTAGTTGTTAGTATGGCACTAGGCTAGTGAGCTTAACGTTCAAAAACTGTTTCTGTATATAGGTCTTCAGGAGGAGCATCCGAGGATCATATCGTGCAGTTGACATTCTAGACAGTTCGAGCAACATAGTACGTCTTGAGTCATTTCTTTAGAGGGCATGTATTATTCGTAGAACTACTTGTATTTGAGTCATAATTTTATTTTTAATAATCTATTGTATTATTTTTATATATTATTTTGGGAGTTCCCATGATGTGAACTTGATTTAATTATGTTTTGATTTATTTCATTTACAAAAGTTTTGAACTGATGATTTAAGAGGCATTTAAAGAAAAATTTTTGGAGTTAACCACTCCAGTGGTCCCATTTGACATTCTAATTGGTTGAATTTTTGCATAACAGATTAGGGTGTTACAATATTGGTTCATCACATGCTTATTAAAATCGAGTTTAATTTGAGTGGGTACACTTCCCTATGTCCACGTAGAGGTGAATACCATCATGAGGACTATAAGGCGTGTGCCCCAGGAGCGGTCTGTTAGCCCATGCGGAGGTGAAAACCATCACGATGGAGTAGCTTCTCAGTTCCACTTAAATGGGATGGAGTGGGGTTTTAACTTAATGCCATGAAAAGCAACTATGTAGTGTGTGAGGGTGAAAACCATCACGATGGAGTAGCTTCTCAGTTCCACTTAAATGGGATGGAGTGGGGTTTTAACTTAATGCCATGAAAATGCAACTATGTAGTGTGTGAGGAAAAAAGAACATACAATAAAAGCAAACAATCATAAAGTGGAGTTCTCAAATCCTTTATTTAATATGAAGTCATTAGCTGACAAATTATTCTAGCTATTCCGTGGTTAATCAAATTATAAACACAAATTTATTCTAAACAGACCATAGATCAAAAATTAAATTAGGGTAAATTTATAATTTTTATCGTAAATACAACAAATTAATTGACTAATGGTAGACTCTCTAAACCTCACCAGTGGAGTCCCCCAGTTGTCGAAGCGTTCTTTTAAAAATTGAATAAAATGGTCGGTTAAAAATATAGTTGCCTCAACTAATTTGGGACTTGAATTTGAAATAATAAAAATTGTTTGTGGAGTCGGCACCAATCTTTGATTAGGGTGTGAATGGGCACCCAAACCAAACTTTTTATGTTTATAAAATTTATTTCAATTATATTAAAATAATATTTTAAATTCTTCGTACTAGATATTAAGTTAGGGAGTCGATTACACGTGGGAAATGATTAACACTCCCATAGCTCCCTAAATTGATACCTGGTCAATTAATAATTGTCTTTGCAATGAAATTTACGAATTCAAATATAATTTAATTTAAGATCCCTTTTTAAACACATAGAAATTAATCCTCAAATTTATGAAAGGATAAGTACGACATTTAATTATTTCTTGTCATATATAAAAAGACCTTTTATGCCTTAAAACAATCAGTTTATATTTTAATAAAAACAAAGAAATATCGATGTTCCATTCATAAATTCATTGTTAATCCATATTTTTAAATACATGTAATAAAATAATGTAAATTAATTATATGTTACCAATCCTTTAGAAAGAATAAGGACATTTCATTATTTAAAAACATTGAAATCAGACCTTTTATACGTTCTAATGGTCAGTTCTCGGTGAATTTAAATAAAAGAACATTATCTTTTTCTTTCATTCCTAAGTTTTAGGTGCGACCATTTTTAGAGTTTCACTTAGTAGGATACCATTTTATTTTAAAATAATCAAATGTGACCTTCTTATACCTTAAGCATTCACTTCTAAAATGAAATGATATTACCCTTAATCAAATTATTTTGATCGAGCCAAGCAATGCTTATGAGGATATCCTACATATTAATTAAAAGGATAAAACCCTGACTTATATGTACCAACAAACATATTTACATGCATAACATAAATAAAAAATAAATAAAATAATATACTGCATTATACTAATATATATATATATATATATATATATGGTTAGTTAAAATAAACATATACATGTATATAAAATAATACATAATATTGAAAAATTAATTTATACCTTATAGATTTATACTTTAAAATATCATATATATATATATATATATATAAAATTTAAAAAGTAGAAATAGATTTTATTATATACATATATATGTAACTTATATAATTTATAAAACGTGGGTTTTATACAAGTTTTATCAATAAAAACTAACCTATAAAACATTATCAACATTTAAAAATATATACAAAATAAAATACTTTATATTATATATATGTGTGTGTGAATTAAAAGAATGAAAAAATAGCACAAGGTTTAATATAAGTATATATAAATATAAAATATTATATTATATTATAAGAATATCATGCTTGCACACATATACTAAAACATTGACTAAAATGAATAATAAAATAGTAAATTTTGGGATCTATTTGCAAATATAACGAAGGATAAGGATTAATAGCACAAATAAAATGAATTATAAACTAGAAATGCAAATAACCCAATAATGTTGTTCAGGACCAACATATAAAGTTTCAAAAAAAAACAAAATATGAAAAATAACATAAACTAAAATATAAAGCAATATGGACCAAAATATAAGATGTGAGAAATTAAGATCTCGAACTTGAAAATTAAAACATCAAATTGGTGACCAGAATACAATAAATGAAAATATAGAAGTGCAAACATTAGAATTAATAAAAAAACAAAAAACATTAGGGACCTAAATGTAAAAATACGAGTAATATAGAGGGACTAAATATGATTTTCCATTTTTTAACTTTCGTAAATAATATAAAAAATAAAAGTTAAATTAACATAAACAGTACCCTGTTTCAAATTAAAATAATGAAAAAGACACAACTAGTGAATGTTCTGTAAAAACACACTAAAACTAGGATGGCCAAAGTGCGAATTTACTTCAACTATTTCATTTTACCAAGTTTAATATTAGCCGGATTAGACAACATTTATATGTTTCGATGCAACAACAATATGTTATTTGTAACAAGTAGTTTTGTTGGTTGGTTAATTGGGCATATTTTATTCATGAAATGGGTTGGATTGGTATTAGCCGGGATACAACAAAATAATTTCTTTAGGTCTAATGTACTTATTCGATCTAATAAGTATCTTGTATCAAAATTTAGAAATTCTATGGCTCACATTTTTAGTATTCTCTTATTTATTACACGTGTTTACTATTTAGGTAGAATGTCGTCACCAATTCTTAGTATCAAACCAGCTCCTCCTCCGCCTGGAGTATGCTCCCAGAAATATAGCTATCCCTACCCCCTTACGTCAATCCCATGAGCCTCTTATCCATACTTATTCGATCATGGTGGGGGAGTTCAACAATGTGGTAGGAGTTATCTTTCAACCATTTGAATTTTCAGTTACTTTTTTTGAAAGAGGAAGAGCTTACCTGAATTGATGTCTACTGGCTCAGCTAGCATGACATTGAAATAGGGTGCTTAGCTTAGAACCCCAATTGAGCTTGTTCACTCACTCAATGCGCTTAATACTAGAGGGGTTTTAGCTTTTTTCTACAAGAGGATCAATGGGAAAAAGAATTGAACTGGCTTAAAATCTCAAAGAAAATAGCTTAGGCCTTTAACCTATCCCTCTTATCCATAGCTTGCTTGAAAGAATAGTGATTTTGCAAAAGAACTAGCTTACCTGCAAAATTATTTAGTTATTTAGACTAAGGGGAGAGAAGGTCTTTCCGTTAGAAAGGGTAAACATAGCAGACACCTTTTCCATGTTAGGAATGTTTAAAATAGGGGATAGAATGCCACTGATCAATGATAAAAGTAGCTATGATTTAGTGATAGTTTCCGTTGAGAGGTGAAAGAGTTGCTTTGGTTCAAGTCAAGAAAGAATTTGACTAGGAAAGAAAGGCTCTATGTTTCATAGAGATAGAGGTATACTATATAACAGATTGCTAGCAATGATCATTTTCCATTTAGAGTGATAAGCTAATTAGAATGATAGACTATGGATACGACTTGCAACTCCTACTCGAGCTTATGAACATTCTTTGTACACTTGCCCTTAGCTTGCCCTTTCTTCTGGTAGATTGATGAACTTGCCTTCGTTGATGAACAAGGCTCCTTCGGACCCTGGAATTCTTCTCTTTCTCCCAGAAAGTGCTATGTTAGTTTTTACCTAATCTATAAGGAAACGATCCCATAACAAGACACACCAAAAATAACTTCTTTCACACCTTCAACCTCAACTGGACCAGGATTTCGAGATATCCCTTCTGATGACTATATGAAAAGATGAATAGGAAATCCAGCGGCAAGGCAAGGAACTTCCGCCCATTAGATTAGTCCCTCTTTTGTTCGTAGGCATCCGTCTCATCTCGTGCAGTAGGAAGCATGAAATGAGGAAGCAGTCAAAGAATAACATTTACTATTCTTTTCATATTGATGAAAATAGGATTCATACCCAAAAGAGGATGATATATCCTCTCTCAAAGTAGTCGTAACGTAAGGTTTTTACGTAAGGTTTAGCGTAACCCTATTTCTCTTAAATCTTAGCATCGGGATTCCAAGGGTCCACTAAGGCATGTAGAGATACCCTCACAACCAGTTTAGACATCTAGGGTCTAAAAGGAGTCTTACCAATATTATATGGATTTTTTTCCTTGCTTGAATTACGCAACAACAAAGCTAAAGAAGGTATGTATTGATCTGTTTTGTCTTGCTATGATTCACCTTTCTTGCTTACTATTCTATATAAGTAAGACCACTCTTGATGTTGGTAAGCCAACTATTAAAGTTCATAGGTAGGTGAAAGGCCATGGGGAGACACCATCTATGATCCATGGATCTCCGATTGAGAAATCGTATCCAAGCTCCATGGCTAGTCTGTGCTCTTTGGACTTTTAAAACTTAGTGAACTGAAACATTTGAATAACTAAAGGAAGTGAAATCAATCGAGACCCCATTAGTAATAGCGAGCGAGAGCAGATTGAGGGTTTGAAGAAAAAAATACACGAAGCCTCTCCTTACCAGTCGAGCTCTTTTAGAGCCTCAGCAAAGTGTTCACTTTCTTTTTGCTAGGTTTCATTCGATTTATTGTGGATTGGATGATGGAAAAACCAGTAAGCCCCTTAATTTTCTATTTAAAAAAGGGCGCAATGAACTGTAACTGTGAAAAGGTTGGAAGATCTGGCCAAAAAGGGTGATAGTCTTATGGATTCGTTCCCATTGTTCGATCATTCCTAGTAAAGCAAGACGTGTTCAAATTATGATCACTTTTACGCGAGAAAGGGGACCACCCTCTAAGCCTAAGAATTCCTCAATGATCGATAGCGTACAAGTACTGTGAGGGAAAGGTAAAAAGAACCCTATTTATGGAGTACGATAGAGAACTTGAGATCTGATGTGAACAATCAGTCGAAGGAGAGGAGCTTAAAGCCTTTACCTGATATTAGTAAAGTGTACTTACTCTTACGGTGTACCTTTAACATGATGGGTCAGCGAGGAAATGGGAACAGTGCCTTAAGCTTTTAGGTGTAGGCACTTTCTAGAGGTGGAATCATATAGTTCTTCCTATTTGTCCCAACACCGATCGATCTAGCCTTGAGCAAGTTGAAGATACCTCTAACAGCCCTTGGAGGACTGAACCCACGTATGTGGCAAAATACGGGGATGACTTTTGGCTAGGGGTGAAAGGCCAACCAAAATTGGATATAGTTGGTTTTCTGTGAAATCTATTTCAGTAGAGCGTATGATGTCGATGGCCTAAGGTAGAGCACTCAATGGTATAGGGTGGACCTATTTCGCCTTACCAACCCTAGGGAAACTCCCATCACAAATCGAGGCAAACCCACGAGAAAATGTTAGCACTATCACCATCCAAAGTGGTACAATTGCCAAACAACCAGTCTAGAGGATGTTGGCGCAAATCTCCAAAAGAATGGAGAAGAACCGAAATCCCAAGAAGAAGAAAAAAACAATTAACTCAGAATCTCATAAGGACAAAGGGATTAAAGCAAACCCAGAAAAAGAAGAAGTAAACATCATAATCCAATCCAACACCATCTCCCTATACCACTCTGTCTCCTTTTCCTTCAAGGTTGATAAAAAGAGACAAACAAGCTGAAGAGAAGGATGTCTTGGAAGTATTTCAAAAGGTTGAAATCAACATACCTCTCTTTGACATAATCCAAAAAATACCAAGGTATACTAGATTTCTTAAAGACCTCTGTACCATAAAAAGAAGGTTTACCGGAGTAGAAAAGGTGAATTTAGGAGAGCATGTTTCAACTGTCTTCCAACGAAAACTTCCACTAAAGTTAAAAGATCTAGGTATGTTTGCTATACCTTAGAAAATTAGTGAAGTTGGAATTAAACGTGCAATGTACGATTTAGGAACTTCTATAAATATTATGTCTTTATTTGTGTACAACTTAATTTCTAATGAGCCCTTGAAGGATACAAGAGTAATAATACAATTGGTGGATCGATCAATAATTTATCTCGAAGGACTCTTGGAAGATGTCTTAATTAAGGTAAATGAGTTTATATTTCTGAAAAATTTCTATGTCGTTGACATGGAAAATGACCGAACAAAAACTTGCTCTGAGATACTTCTAGGTCTACCATTCCTTAGCACAACAAATATGAAAATTGATGTAAGAAGTGGAATTCTTACAATGGAGTTTGACGGCGAGATCATAAAATTTGATGTATACAAAGCAATGCGACATCTAGATAAAGTTGTTAGTATTAACTTTGTTGATATTATTGAACTTCCCGTTAATGATTTTATAGAATTTAACTTTATTGATAATCTATGCAGGGCATTTGAGGAATTTGAAAATGCAATCAGGGAGTTTTAGAAAAAAATTTCGGTTAATTCTGATTCATGCTTTTCTTCCTCAAATCCTTAAATGCTACCTTCTGTTTTGCAAGCTCCTCAAATCGATTTGATGTAGTTGCCAGACAACATGAAGAACATATTTTTGGGAAAAAGAGATACTTTGCCATTAATTATTTCAGAAAAGATGAAAATGATATGTAGAAAAGCCTATGAGAATGCCAAAATATACAAGAAAAAAAATAAAAGAATTATAAGATTGTAGAATTTCTCATAACGAAGTTCTTAGTTGGAAAAAGCGTATGAAATGGAGAAAGTATTTCCCTTAGAACCTATAATTTAAAAACAAGTCGACGAGCTAATGACGTTAAAAAAAAGCGCTAAATGGGAGGCAACCCATTTCATTTCATTTCATTTTATTTCTAGTAAATTTTATTTCATTTAATTTTTAGTAAATTTTTTTATTAGGTACTCATTTTATTTTCTTTGAACATATTAGAATTTCAATCAAATTTACAGCTTTGGAGCAGTGTTTCACATTTGGAGACAACAAGCAGCGAAGGTTAGCAAAACCCACACCATATGGCACAAGTTAGCTATCGTACCCAATTAAATTTCTTTTTAATTCACCTTATCTATCTTTGAAACCAATCTATTTCTCTTTTTAAAATTCCCATGGACCCTACATTTTATTATCTCATTTTTAAGTTTTAAACACCTCACTTATCTTTTACCTTATCTCATTTTTTTTTAATTTTAAATTACTCACCGTTTGACAAAACCAAACAAAACTCATCCCTGGACCCCTCCAAATATAACCTTTTCATATTTAATCTTAAACCCCACGTGCCGTTTAAATCCCCAAAATCTTTCTTCTTTTTTCTTTTAGCCTTGCGCCACCTTCACCACTTTCACGAGACCAAACAAGCCTTCACTATCGTACCTCACCTCCTACTTCGCTCATTCACCATCTCTATTTATGGTCGTAACCCCAGTAAACCATGGGAGTAATTCTGTTCCATCTCTTCGCTTTTCTATTCATATTGGGACAATATGGTCTAAGTGAGGGGGTAGAATTTGCTATCAAATTTTTTGTTTGGTTGTTTGATTAGTTGAAATTAAGTTGTTCTGATATTGTTGTGTTGGAATCTTTAGTTTCTTATCTTGAAATTCACTTTACACTCTTGCTTCCTTTGGATTGTGACCATGTTTTGATCGAACTTAGTTTTCATAATGGCTATTGGCATAGCTGGTGATTTTCTACTAAGTATTGATTTTTTCGTGGATTTTTTGATGGAGATGAACTTGACTCAGTACATATAAACCTTTCTTGTGAGATTTGAGCATAACAAACATATATTTTCTTTCTTGCTCATTGTTTGACTGAGTGTGCCAGACTAATTATGATATTAACTCGTAATCTTAATACATATCGAGACTTCATGTTGGACATAATGTTTTAAAGTGATAGGGGCTCATAGAATTAAACCCGCTTTTTCCTAAAAAGCCTACCCATTTATATAATCACTAGTGAACCACTTTTTGAGCCTTTATCTTTTTTTTACCACATACTTAAATCGAAGCCTTTATTTTCATCCCTCTTTTCTACCCTTATCAAGGCAACTATATTAGTTGTTTAAATTGACATATTTTCTTTATTTTATTATTTATTATTTTAATATTTTTGTTATTTAAAAAAACCGGTTCGAACAATTACGATAGTACAGTGCAGAAAATAGTAAAATTAAAACTAGAAGAAAAAGAAGAAAAAAACACAAAAAATAAGTGATTTATGTTTATTAGTTTACTTTCATTTCTTTTATGAAGTTAGGAATTATTTGTAAATCTCTTGTCTTTGTATTTAAATCGATCATCATGACCTTTTCCCTACCCTAACCTAAGCCTCATTACTCTTTGATTTAAGACCCCTTGATTATCGCATTATGTTCACTTTTAGTAGTGTAGACTTGATTGGATTCCAAGCCTATGATAATATCTTGGTTAGTTTCGGTTTGAGCGATTTCATTTTACCCTAAACACTTTGAACGAATATGTGTGAATCTTTGGGACATATTGAGTTATGTTTCATTAAAGTTGGTAAATAATTGGGATTTCTTGATTGCTTTAAAATTATTCTGAGTTGTGTCTTTGCTTGATTGTATCTTGAAGTCGGCAATTGTCATGGACTTAGTTAGATTGAAAGTTTGAGGAATAAAGTGAAATTGAATATGGCAACTTGCTATTTTGATGTGTTAATTGAGGAATGCTTGAGGATAAGAATTGAATAAGTGAGGGGGACTTCGATAGGTGGTTTATTTATTTATTATTTTACCTTTAAATTACTCCTTAGTTGTTGGTTTTTATGGTTGATTTATTCGTTTTGACTCTTTTTTTGTATAGGACACTAGATTCTGGAAATTGCACTTAAATGACAAAATTATGTATTTTTTTTTATTTTCAGAATCAAGGTCGAATTAGTGGGCATGACACATCTGACGTGGCGTTAAGTTAGCACCTTCTAGAAGGTTTAGTTAGTACTTCTAGAAGGACCAATGTGTCTTACGCGTTTTTGAAATTTGAATTCAAGTTAATTGCATGTTTTTATGATGTTAGTTTAAATATTTTAAGAATTATCTTTAGGAATTATCTCGTATTTTTAGGAATTATCTTTTCATTATTTTTAGTTTAAATATTTTGAAGGCTATAAAGACCCTCTCAGGGTAAGTATGAAAACATGTTCATAATTCATTCTTCTTCTTTGCTTTGGGTTTTATAAAAGTTTTCTTTTTCTTTTTCATAGTTTTCTGTGTTTTTATTTTTTATTTTTATTTTTAAAGATGGTAAGTATGATTGTCATACTTAGCTAATTTCTCCATAAGCCAAGGGCTAAAGCAATGACTCAATTCCTATTGTGAAGATTGAAAAGCACTTAAAATACCTTTGGGTTATTTTCTCCATTTTCTGGATAAATAGGATAGGTAATTGACCTATCCCTTAAAATCAAAACGCTTTTAAATCAAAAGGTCGACGTTGGTTTGGATGTTGTTCTGGTTTAAAGTTGGGAGGAAGAATCAGCTGGTAGCAAGTTTGACTTCCTGTGAAAACACTTAGCGGAGGTCCGCTAAGGGAAATTGAGATCGGGCTCGATTATCATTTACACAACATTGTCCGACTAAGGTTTTTCCAAAGCTTTTAAAACTGAGTTGGTGCTAATTAGGATAGTCGTAGTTAGTCCACACAAGGACTATAATTCAAATATAGCTTTTGAATTTTCGGTTTACAAGAGAGAAAAACAAATTATAGGGGTTGGGCCCTGTAGACTATAATCGACAGATATCCGAAGTGTAAAATTATTTCAAGGATCAATTTGAATTGAGGCAAAAGCTGAAGTCTGAGATTGTTTTCACCATAAGTTTTCCTTATATAAATTTATTTTTCAATTTATTTATTTATCTTATCTTTATCTCAAATTATTATTTTTTGTAAACAATTTAAAACCCCTTTTTTCTCCCATCTCTATTTTTTCTCACCTTTATCCAAATCCCTATTTTTTCTCATCCTTATCTAGATCTAAATCAAAAAGTTCTCAATCACATAAATTCCAAAGTCCATGTGGACTGACCCAACTTCTCTTTACTATTTTTTTATTTCTTTATTTATTTTTGAGAAGAAAAAAATATTTTACAGTAATACAACGCATGTCAATGTTATTAACAAATTTAATTTTAATCAAGATGCTACGTTGGAAAGAAACTGCCATAAACTCAGGAAAAAAGATGGATTTTAGACACATTTAGCGTGAAGGAAATAAGTGTATAGATGGATTAGTTAATATGAGTAGGGAGCAAACGGATGAACTCGTTATTTTAACCAAACCTCCAAACGAATTAATACCGTTGATGGGGGCTGATGTCAGAGGACAGGAGAAGGCATTCTGAAGTTGTAATTC